GATAAGCAAAAGGAGGAGGCACTGGCTTTTTTAATTGGAACCGCTGGTAAATTGCCATCAAATAAAGTAAGTTGCTTGATTAATTAATTGATTAGATTAATTAATATTGTTTTATCTACTTATTAATTGAAAAAATTCTAAAAAAAATACTTAACTCAGGAACCAATCTCGACAATAACATCATTTCAAGGATCAGTATTGTCTCAAGAATCAGCATCGTCTCAGGAATCATCATCGTTTCAAGAATCAGCATTGTCTCAAGAATCAGATTCATATCAAGAATCAGCATTGTCTCAAGAATCAACATTATCTCAAGAATCAGCATCATCTTACGCAGCACCAGCATCACAACGATTTTCATCTTCAAATGACTTTCGTTTACCTTTTAAAGATAGTACAATACCAAATTTACCTTTACATTCTAATGCATTTATTAAAAATCCAACATTAGGTGGTGTTAGACGTTTAAAAAGAAAAAAAACAAAAATTATTAACAATTATTATAATATTACCGCTGATTCTGTAACCTTTAATTAGCCTAGAAATATCGAATAATTATTAGTAATATGACAAATTACATTAAATAATAAAAATTTACAATTTGAATGCTTGAATTTAAAAAAAAAAAACCATATCTTGAAGCCCAATTATTTAAAAATCCATGCTTTGTTCAGTAGAATTTAAGAGTCTAGTACTGTAGTGCCTAATTCAAAGATCTAGTAACGTCGTGTTCTGTCTAAGACAATTTAAAGAACCTGAAGATCTATTACTGTTGCTTCATGCCCGATAGAATTTTAAGAGAACCAAAGGTTTAGAAATATTGTGTTCCTTTCACTCGAATTCTAAAAGAGCTGAATATCTAGTAATGTTGTGCACTGCCCAAGACAATTTTAAAGAATATGAAGTTCTATTATAGTTACTTCACGCCCAATAGAATTTTAAACGAACCAAATGCCTAATAATGTCGTGCCAGATTCAATAGAATTTAAATTTAATAATTTCGTGTTTTGTTCGAAGAACATTTCACGCTTAATAGATACCGAAGGTCTAGTAATGTGCCGTTCAACGGAATTTTTAATATCCCGATATGGAAAATTGGCAAATAACAAGTAGATCGC